TTATATTTTCCTCCTAAGCAAGTTATATTTGACCAAAATACATGCATAATTGCATAGAGTATCTGTTTACACTGCTAGATTCAACTTAATTTTCCTTTTCTTTAAATAAGAAAGGAGGAAGAGCAACTTCCCTCATCAGAAGCTTGAAGAGAATAGGAGAATCAGCCCTCTTGCTTGATTTCTTATTGCTGGTCAACTGTTGGCTTTCTTTAGCAAGTGCCTGCTTGAGATTTCAGAGCTCGCAGCATGGGCATAATTAAATGAAACACATTTCCCACGTCAACTCAAACAACAGTTCTGCAAAGAACGTGTGAGGATTTGAGTTTTAGGTGAATTTCTATTCCAATAACTTTTTTTCTTGTGGTGTTTAGGGACGATTTCTAGTGGAAGCAGCAAGCTTCAAAACTCTTTTTTTTTGTTTTTTGTTCCCCCCCCCCAGAAAAATGGGAAGCTTTTTTAAAAATGGGAATTTCAGGCAGCTTCCTAAAATGGCTCTGCTTACCCATTAATGTACTTTATATTTAGCACAAGACCGCAAGCAGACACGATTGCTAGACCAGACTGTTTTAGGGAAGAGCAAATCACTTTGCTTCTCTACTTGCAGCCCTGCTAAAATAATGGGCACTGCAGCACTAGGGGAAGCAGACACAAAATGGAAAAATATTAAGTTTCAAAAATGCCTCCTTGGACAAACTGCACCAAAAAAACACGAGCACAAATCCAACCAAGTAAAGCAGGCGGGAGAGCATCTTTAGCTAGGCTCCAGATTAAGACGAGGGCAAACTGAGCTTTCTGAGACTGCTTTTGGGGAGGTTTTAGAGASGCAGATGATTTGCAACGTTCTCTCCATCGTGTCACGGAGGGCAAAGCAGTGAACAAAATGCAGAGATTTTTACGTGCTGCTCTGGTCTTTCACCATCCAGTGACTACTGTCATTTCTGCAGCTTCTCGGCACTCCGCTCCGGCCGTTCACACACATCACGGSGAAGAAAAGTGGCAGAAACTGATGCAAAAGGTAGAATTTCACTCATGTTCCTAATTTTAACTCTTCCCCCAAAAATCTGGAGATAAAGACATAATGAAAAACTATTCATCTCACTGATACCTCTTCAATCTCCTCATTCTCCTTCTATTATTTTAATCGAGGAGAGACAACACACATAAATTTCCAGTTTGGTTAAAGTATGGTTCCACACTGAACCATATGCCTGGTTCAATCACGTAAGATCCAGAGCATACCAGTAAAATAATGCCCTTGGTGCAAGTTTATCATGGTTTGGCACTCACTTTTTTTTGGGCTGGTATGAATTTATCAAATAGGGTAAGTTTGCTAAGTAGCCCGATGCTCCTGAAGTCAGTGTAAACGTGTACAATTATTTCCTTTTACAAGGGGCCTTGGGGATGAGGGCTTTCTCCGGGTGCATCATTAAATATTTACCGCCACAACATCCCAGTGTTTCTGCAAAAGCAAATACAATATTCATTCTGAAGGCATTAACTTGGAGCACTCACCGACTTCAAAAGCATCTCTCCAGCGGAGGAATTCTGGATGTAGTGAGGCCAGATTTGTGCTATCTGAAGTCACTAACCTACATAAGTTGACAAAAACCAGAAGCATCTTCTGTTCAAACCTGAATCCATGTTAAACTGAACGTACTTCAACTCCGAGGCACTAAAGAACMGCAATTAAGGTTCATAAATCCATTTGCACCTGAAAGTGTTGTGCCATCCTCTTCGCATTAGATGAGTGCTGTAATTGCAAAAGGAAAATAACGKGGCCGCTTACGGAAATTCAAGCGCTATCCACCAAAACCACTGCTCATCTCMGATGCAAAAATGAGTTCACTAGAAATAAAAACTGGCAATGGTACCAATGCTGTGAACAGAAAGCRCAGCACGTAATGTAAGCATGGCAAACCTGACAGTGCTTTGCCTCTTATTTTCTGAAGGACAATTAATAATGAAAATTAGAATAGCAGATAATTATTCCTAAATTGTTACCACACTTGCTGTTTTCCTGCCCTTCAAAGCGTGCGTGTTCCAACAGCCAGCTACCCCATACCCAACCCAAACCACTTTAACTGAGCAGCCACCTCTTCTGGGGTCCCTTTTTGGCAGAAACACACCGCTTTGTTTGGAAAGTCTGCACAGAGACTTAGGAGAGGGAATCTTTTCTACAGAGAAAGCTGTATAAATAAAGAATTGAATCCCTGATCATTTTCATATGCTGCCAGGCTTGGGATGGATGAATGCTTCCAAAAAGCTGGCGCCTCTGCTTTGGTAGGAGTGGGTGGAATATTATAAGATTCCCCTTCCCTCCCCCTCTGAACCAGAATCTGGTCTCTATTAAAGGCATTTCTGCTATAACACTAGTCTGAAATCGTTTGCTTTTACACAGTGCTGCAATTTCTGTAACAATCTTTGAACAGGATCTCCTCAGTGTTGGAAGTCCACCAGCTTCCACTTACTCTAGTTTTACTGTCCAGGCCAAGCTCTTTAAGTTCTGGTCATAMTGAAAGACGTAGAAATAAGACAGAGAAGAAGTCCTGCCTTGGGAAACTCCAATAATAAGTAGTGCAGCATAAATAAAAACTCTCTCGGCGCACTTGGAACCCACCTTTGCTAACCACCCTGCAAGAACTTCAGCAACTACCATCTCTGTAGGTCAAGCTGCATCTTTAGTTCCACTACTGAAATTACACAAGCAGCCTGCAATGAGGTTTGACTAACATCTCAATAACTGTCAGCGATGCAATCATCACAAGGGAACAACTGACAACCCGGATTGCCAAGGTGACCGAGCGCGTGAATGTTGGAAAATGTGATATGGGTCATAAATGCAAGGAAGAGGGGGATGCAGAGCACGGATCGCTTGTGCACTCCCTCCCCTGGGGAATTTATATTGTCACGAGTACTGGAAATCACGCCAGAAATGAAAGGATCTAATACATGAATCATTTCTCCAAAAGATCCTGATTTTTGTCACTCAGAGTGCAAAAGCTCGTCTGTGAACATTCCAGATGGGTAGCCAGGAAAATTTCCCCAAACCACTTAAATCTAAAAAACGATTACAGAACTACTACTAATTGAAGCCAAATGAGGCCAAAAAAAAGTGTTGGTTATACATATTAATTATACATATATTAAATATACATATAAATATACACTAAAATAAAACAGAGTGCACATAAATTTACTGCAATTTAAGAAATCATGCATTTTAATTTCATAATCTAGAAGTTCCATTCTTTTTTCACACAATTTAAAGAAAGCTTTTTTCCTTTTCTTCCTTTTTGTAGGTGATCTACAAAATCAGTAGCATCAGTATTTTAGCAATGGGACATCTGTTCTTCTACTATGTAAAAATCAGAAGTGGAAATTAATGAGATCTGCAACTGCCTGTTGTCTTATCAAAACCAAGATCTCTTTGGAAGTTACTGAACTCTGTCCCTGCAGCTGCCAAGGACGCTGCTTCTTGGGGCTCCCTGTCATATGAATCGTGATGTGAAGACCCAGATACTTACTATTAGCTCAGTCCCAACCTTAACTGACAAAGTTCTCATGCCTTCTAGCTTCAAAATTATGGTTTTCTACACTTGAAGACCGGACGATGGCTCAAAACTCTAAAAATGATCCCAGAAAGTCTCCCTGGTTTTAAGCCTTCAGTACTTAAGTAAGTACAGAACTTCCTTTCTGCAGGAATGGGAGTGGGGAAGAAGGTTAACAACAAAGGAAAATAATTCAAGAAAAGCTTTAAGTAAAACGAGGTGAGGAAAACAAGACGAGGGCATGGTGGACAGTTCCTCACGTTGGTTACTCTTGTTCCACCTCAGACCCTCACAACCAGCTTCTGTAAGTGAATTCTCCCTTTCCAACTGACCTTGCAACGAGGCTACAGCTTCGCTGTGACCAACACACAGGACGATTCAGCTCGGGTGGCTCCTTCAAGGATCTGCTGAAAGAGCCCCCAGACTGGTGGTTTTACCCTGGCCATGCTGACACCCACCTGGGCTGCACCTCCTCAAAGCAAACAATGATAATCTCTAGATCTTTCCTTTTTCCCCTGCACATCGCTCTGCGCCTTCCCTTTTTGCTTGGAAGGCAGCGAAGCCGACGCAGCCATCTCAGTATCAGTCAGCAGGCAGAAGGGGAGGACGTGCAGCCACAGCAGCGATCGCGTCTTCTAAGATGCAGAGCCCGAGCAGATTGCTCACGTTTGCTTACAGGAAGCTCTGATGAACTAGAAAGCCGAGTTCTCACGCAGAGAAATTCAAATCAACCCTCTGTTCCGTATTCTCGGCCTCATCTACAACTTGCCTTCACTCACCAACTCTGCCTCCTGCACCGCCGCTCCTCTTACAGCTCTGCCCTTCCTGACATCTCTGAGCAGCTGCTTTGCATTCCCTGTTCTGGCTCCTCTTTCCTTGATCCTAGTAATTTCTGCTCTCATCACAGAGGAAAAGGATTTAAGGCTGTGGGGCCCTAAAGCAGCAAAGAACAAGGAAGAGGGAACTACACCAATGAAGCACTAAGGAGAAAAAGGTGAGTGGAGAGTAAAGCTAAACCTGCAGGAGAAAGCAGACTGCACCAGCTGAAGCTGTTCACCAGCAATGTTTTTCGCAACACAGGGTGAAATTATCTGTAAAATTATCTGCCAGCAGCTCCCTAAACCTTCCAGGGCCCATGAGAGACATGTGGGAGAGAAGGCTCCTCTATCTGCTTTTAAAAAACTCCCTTTGACAAAGACGTAGTAACTCTGCAAGCAAGTCTAGCTTTAAAACTTAATACCCCCAAAAAAGATCACCTACAGAGAGGAAAAAAGGGTGAGAATTAAGCTTAATTTAAGCTTCAAAAATTTGAAATCTGCATGTTAAAAACAACACATTTTGCAAACGACAAACACAGTCCACARCACCGTACAGACACACAAATTATTGCAAATAAGCTAGAGTTTTGGGAAAGTACTAACCAGTTACTGACAGCAGCTGTGAAACCCTCACCTCCATTTCCTCCCGGTGGGACCTGTCTCTGTCCTCGAACTCGCGAGTTCTTCTCCGGGCTTCTTCGAAGGCCTGTTGTGCCAAGGCATCCTCCTGCTACCAAAGCAGACAACAGGGTGACACAAGAGACTGCCCACCTTCCTACCAGACTGCATTTCTTTGGAATATTAGAGATATCCGACAATTCAGTGCTATAGCGSCTGCCAGGACACCCAAACATGAGTTACTGCAGTAATTCCTAACAGAGGTTAGTGATGGATTCTCATCTTCATCCCTGCAGGACTGGTAACCAAACCTGCAAAGCAGCCACTATTTAAATGCATTTTCTCAGCAGGAACTCCTTTTCAGGGGGATTTACTTGCTAATTGTTAGGACTTCAAAGGAAACCTCTGAAATTACATGAAAAAGAAAAAGGACCATCCATTTTATTCTCTTTATAAAAGTCATTTTGAAGACAGTACTCAACAGAGGTATCTACTACAGAGTTCATTGACACCATAATACAAAAGTGAATTAATTCTCTCCATTCAAAAAGTATTATGTAAGCTACAGATTAATTAAATCCTCCATTTTCTCGCAAGCTGCTGCAGGTGAATCAGGATGAACATTCACAGCCATTAGGTATCATTTAAATTTAGTTGCACTAGAAATTGCAAACTAAATTTTAGTTTGCAATTATTATTTACTTGCAATTATTACTGCAGTCYGATTATCCCTCCACTAATGTGTGCACATGCACATACAATTCGGAAGAAACCTAGAGGCTTTCTATAGCCCTGCTCTTTGATTTTTAAATATWATAGCTTATACACAGGAATAATGAATTAATGCACTAAAACTTTGATTTTTATTTTCTGTTGGAAAAATGTAATCATAAACAAAATGCTTTTAATATCTAAGCCATTAATAACTGGCTTGCAAATTATTTCCCTTAAAGACAGGTGTTTTCACACAGTTTGTTCAGAATGAGAGCAGGCATTTTTGCTCCCCACCGACGTTCTTACGTGTCCACAATGGAGCAACCAGCCCTAAAGAGCAACAAGGCACAACAAACCATAAAGACTAAACTGGATTGCTTCTCCCTTCGGTAACGCTTCAGGTGCAAGTGCCATTAGCTCTGCTTAGGATGCCCATAAACACACGTATTTCAAAGCCAGCATTAAATACAAAGCCTAACCTTGGCAGAGGACGAGCTCACGCCGGGAGCCCCGCTCCGTCTCTCTCTACCGGGGGATTAAGTGCATGAATTTTTTACCGCGAGCGGGAGCCTCCCGGGCGCGCGGGCACCTCCGACGGCTTCTCCCGCCCGCGGCGCCGTCCCTGCCCCGCGGCTACGCTCGGGGCACCCGCCRGCCCAACGCCCCCCATGCCTCCCCGAAGGGCCGTGTTTAAAGCTGCCAGGAAAGTCGGCGCCACAACACRAGCGCCTGCTTCCCAACGAGAACGCGTCCCTTTTCCAGCGCTTTTGATGGCGGTGTTCGCAGCAGCGGGCAGGGAAAAGGATGGATGGAAAGAAAGGATGTTCTTCATCATGGGGAAGGGCACAGAAAACAGACTGACTGCAGAAATGCAGCCTTATTCCTCATTTAAAGCAGCTACRGTAAATGTCATGACCACCCCATATTTTAACAGGCCTAAGGTGGATTTCTGTGTTAGATACTTACATTTCACCATGATTTGAAGCAACGAAAAGCTAACGTATAGATGCAACCAGATTATTTAAAAAACAGCCATGACCAGCAAAACCAAAATCAGAGTATCTGAGAAGAACTATGTTGGCATGCAGAAGGCACACGTGTTAGGAGCTGAAACACCAGCACACTAATGGCCAAGGTAAAAGGTAAAAATGTCAATGCATTTAAAAATACCTGCCCTGCTCTGGGCAATGGGCTGTAATAGTTAAACAAGCAGGATCCCAGGATCTCGGACATCAGGAGCTTAACCCCTTTTTCCTCCCTCAAATGTCAACCAAATCTAGTAATTTTAGCCCAGTGAATTCCACGGTGTCCAACCCAACCATTTATCCCCTGACTTGAAGCCAGCAGAAACGTTCCTGGTAGGAGGGTACAATAAGCAGAAGAAGSAGCAGCGAGTTGTGTCGGCCTGAAAACAGAACAAAACACAAAACTCAAACCAAAGAGCAGACTCTCACACAGAGRCACACACAGAGCCGGGCCTGGAGCTGACACCAGAGCAGTCTGGCAGGAAAAGCTTTAATGAGAACAACATTATCCTGGAACAGCTCCGGGATCCGCGCAGCAAGAACTGCTCCCTTGCAGAAGGGATCTGTAAGGACCCAAGGCAGAAACAGATGTGGGCTTAATGAGAGGCGAGACAAACACCAAATTCGAGGAAAATTGTCCCACATGGGGAGGGCATCAAGGAGGACCATCAAGGATGTGCAYGGAGTTTTTTGCCCAGCTGCTCACGTCCATACAGGCAGCTCAGTCGGAGSCCCCAAGACAGCAGCAGCAAACAACAACTTAATCCAAGCCCCAACAAGACTTCCAAACCAGATGCCTTTTATCCAAATAGAAACTTACTTCTCTTTCCATTTTTTTCCCCCCTCAATTGCTGCTTTACGTAAAAATAAGCCCAATGCAACATTAAAGTGCATCTGCTGCTCTGGGCTTGCGCATAGTCCCCTTTGACAGGGGTAACTCCTGGCACTACTGTTTTAACAAAGAGCACGACTAACAAGCTCCTAATAACTGATACTGAGGAACAGAGAGCAGGTTACACACCTGTAACAGAGCACAAAAACAACACAGCTCTAAGCCAGCGGTGCTTAGTACCTCTAGTTCAGACCCTGAACTCAGACTAAATCACGTGCAAGCGCACAAATAATTCAAACCCTGCTAAGAGTGTGCACATCAGGAAACTAAGATAACCCGAGACTATGCAAGAAGCCATAAAATATTCATTATAAAACCAACTCAAGGAAGAGGAAGCTATGCATTTCACTACCCTCCTTCCTTATGGACRAGGGCCTGTTTTTCCCCGGAAATACCACATTTTGGACAAGAATAACCAGCGGGTCCTGGGTGCCCACTCCAAATCAGCCTCCTCCGTTTGTAAGTCACCTTACTTCAGCGTTGGTTGTGTTTTAAACGTATCATCAGTCAGTTTGAAGAACCTGAGGATTTAACTTGCACAGTCCTCAGAGGTCTGTGTTTGAGTTCGCTGTGAAAGGCATTAGACAGGACCAGTTCTGGTCCATGGATTTTACAGCATTTATCTGTTCTTAGAGAAAAAAAAATTGCTGCAACAGAAACTCAGCTCACTTGACAAAGCAGTTGCTGCTATTTTGAGCATCAGTGTCCAAGGAAAAGCTTGGTTCTGTGGCTGGAACACACTCAAATGAGCACRTGTGGAAACTGGCTTCTTAAGCTTAGGAGGGGCAAGAGGAGGACAAAACCTGCAACCATTCATATCTATAACATTTATTTTGAACACTTCTAACTCTTGTACAGAAGGAGATGACTCGAGACACCCTCCCGCTCTTCATCTGCAAACAGGAGGGCTCTTTGTGTTTGAGGGGAGTCTTCTCACGGCTCCTCAGYTGTTTGGGAGTGACTGGCTGCAGTATCAGAACAGCTAAAAAGGAAACCCCGAGAAAGGGAGGGCTGAGAACGAGATGCACACGGTGCAAACGGAAAATAAATCCTCATTTAAATCAGTTCCAGCACACGACGGCCAGAAGCAATTTGCCAGAGAGACACTACCCTCAACAAGAAACCGCAGAGGTGCCGTTGAGCAGCAGCTCTGCGGTACCATTTCGGTTCACAGCAAAATAATCTTTSTTCCAAGGATAACTCCACAGAAGTCCAAGGGAGCATCACAGCAGCCGTGGTCCTCAGGCAGCCTCTGTCTGGATGACTCCTCGGTTGGTGCTGAGGAGCTACAGCCACATCTTCCCTAAGCAAGGTTTTACTCTGCCCTCTCCCTAGCGTGGTCCTTAGAGGCTAAGGCTTTAGGTGCATTCCCAAAGGATCCCCTCTGGGTCKGCTGCATCCACATGGAAGGCAGTTCACACCCTTGGACTACTCTGCTGGGTGAACCACGGCCCGGGAAGGGGATGCTAGAGGATGTTACTTAAAACGTGGCATTTAAGATAAAAAGGGGGTGCCAAAGGAAAGGAAAAAGCAACAATTTACGTAGTAGCAAGTGACTGCAAACCCATTGATATGGATGGGGCACAGAAGACACCACACACACACGCAAAGGCATCACTAAGGTCACAAAAGCAGTTCAGGAATTAAGAAAACAGAGTTATTTGAGGTCCCTGAGGTTAAAGTGACAAAAAGAAACACCAACAGAATCCAGTTTTGTTCTGCTCTTGAAATGAAAGACACAGAGGTGCAGCTAGCAGACGTGTAACAGGAGTGCAATGTGAATTACTTGTATTTCCTAGTGTGCAGGAGCACTGATATTCCTTACACACACATTTCTGAACCCAGCCAGGGGCAGAGTGCCTTACCTGTGCCCTCTCCTCATCAAATTCCAGGCAGCCCATACCGTCCAGTCTCTGCAGATCGATCCAGCCTTTCCAGATTACGCAGACACCATTGAGAATCATGGGTGCCTTCAAGTACACCTGAAAGGGAAACAAAACACATGCAATGAACTTGAATTTGCACACGCACACACGGAAAACACGGAGGCACACACACACACACACACACACACACACACGGAAAACACGGAGGCAGGAAGCCTCTCTCTGTGCCCTTAGAAGAGCCTCCAAGCCAGGCAGTAACATGAGATTCTACTTAACAGTTTCTCCCGCCCTCCTTTCCAAGGACTCGTTTTAATCAAGGGAACGCTGCAACTTTTGCCTACTGTACTGCATGGAACGGATTTAAGCTGTGTTCTCATTTTGTAACGCAGCCTGCACCCGGGTTTGGTTAGAATTCCCTTCCTGCTTTCAGTTAAGGGAGCTTTTTTTCCTCGTCAGGTTACCCTCACGTCACCAGAAGGGGCACGGTGCCAGCTGGGGAAGATGCTTTACCAGAGGGACTCGATAGAAATGGCTAAATGAATCCAGGCCTTCCTGCTCTCCAAGAGTTCGCTCTAAAGAAACGTATTCTCAAAGTTTTAATCAATGCAGCAACACAGTAACCAAGAAGGAAAGGTTATTCCAGGTTTTCCACCAAGAAGAACACACATAAAAGCTTTCCCTCCTGGAATTTGCTGCAGTTCCTGCAGGACAGCCCTCCCCGGGGGTGCAGAAGAGCCCCTGTGAGCACAGCACTCACAGGCAGCGCGAGTAAGACGGGGAGCACGAGGAAACCACCACCTCCCACCAGCCCCGTTTGCAGGAGCCTCGTTTCACAAATACCAAACGCAGCACTGCTCCTCCAGCGCAGCCTTGCTCGTTCACCCCCCAAGCAGCGACTGCAGTACAGACAACTGATTTAATTGGCATGCTTAATTAGCTTAGGAACGAAAGAGATGGTCAAAGGGCCCTTCGGAAGAGTCATTCTCCTCCGCAAGGAAAGCGTGACACAGACTCAAAGCGAAAAGGCTGCACGCGGGCCAGCAAAGACCACACACAATCTCTACTCCAAAAGCAGCTACTTCTTGCAAAACCAACAGGTCCTCTGCACGTTTTGATTTCGGGGTTACCTTTCATGCACATGGGATACTCCATTTTTTTGCAGCCTTTCTCCCTAGGAGCAGGACACGCATCTTTTCAAAGAGAAACCTTCCAGAGAGGAATTCTCTTGTGCTTTGGGTCCYGCCTGGCGCCCGGGACGAAGGATGCAGGATGGGGTGCCCCAATCCCAGCCCTCAAAGCCCTTAAGGCCTCAGCAGGTCTTTATTGCTACCAATAATGCACATTTTTCACTTCCAAAAGGGTGAGCGCCTTAACTAGCTCTGGGAGCACCACAGAATCACTCAAACCATGAGCAATTCACACATACTTACATTAAAACACATACTATAAAGCACATCAGTGCTCTCTCCTTTATTGCAGGGAAGAATTTAGCCTCTTGCTCCCCCCTCTCCTCTCGCTGGAAGGATGGAAACCACCTAAGGCTGGAGCCAAAACCGTTTAACCACATATTTCCTTCTTTTCAGATAAAGCCATGGTGGTTCCTTTTCAATTTCCAAGCTTAACAGAATATTACTAAATTGCTCCTGTTGTGTACAACCACGTGAGCTACAGCAGTGCGCCTCAAAATCCGAAAAAATAATGTTATCTTTTAAAAACTTGCAAAGTTCTGTTTTCCAAACACCGCCTAAAAAAGGCCACACAAAGATAGCAAGGGGAAAAAAAAAAAAAAAACACTTTACTGCAATAAAGACCCTAAACTCCCTCTTAACAGCACAGAACTACTCATTTTTTTCTGCAATCTGAAAATAAAGATAGGTTTGGTAGAATATTTCTTTCAAGATTTCGGTGTTTAAACCAGATTAATTGCATTTATATCATCCCACAAATCCTCCCCGCCCTTCTGGGGCTTTTTATGACCACATCTGGCAGCCGGTCTAGCAAAACTCGAGACACTTGGGTGAAAAGCACTTGAGCGGGAAGGAAAAGGAGCGGCTGGAAAATGGGCAATTACCTATTTCACACTCGGTATAGCAATTTAATGGCACCTAAAGAAACACCCTACAGGGATCCACGTCAGAAGATGAAATTCAATGATCTGTTTTACACCGGTGCCTCCTTCCGAGCCGAGTCCATCCTAGGAACTGAGAGGCACAACTTGCCCAACGTGGCAGCACTACAACGCACCTCGATTCAATACCATCGCATATAGGTTAATGGAGGAGAGAATACGTTGAGATGCATGGAAAAATTTCTGCTTGGCTCTTCCCTGTCTTCCTGCACACTGCATTTTGTTCCCTAGATAGTTTTAAAAAACAGCGTACATAATATTAATCTAAAAAAATGAAGCCAAATGAAACCAGAAATATTTATACACGTGTATCTTTTAGTTTCATCAGGGCACAGTGTCTGTTTTCCCTCGTGCTGCTTTGCCTGGGAAACACCTGGGACCTGTGTCGCTCTCGGCACGAGCCGCTGCACAAACCCTCCAGATTAAGTGTGTCCACACACTGGCACGGCCAGAACGCCCCAGTTTGTTCCATTTTGAGAGCGGGATAAACGGTCGCACGCTGCAACCTGCTTTGTGCTCCCAGCTTGGGTTTCCGAACTCGCTCAAACGGGCGAGGGCCGCAACAAACAATTAAAAGACAACAATTAAAAGAAGCAACAAYGCAGCCTAGCACCCGTTTTTGGAGGGGAGGAGGCTCTGCAGAGGCTCCTGCAGCAAAATGCACAGGCTGAGGCCCTCCTTAGAGCTCCTGGCAGGAGATGAAACCATAAAGCAGCTTTCTTTACCTATCAGAGCATTTTTCACTAGCGTGTAACAGCCATCTGAGCAGAGATTTACCTGCTACGCCAAAGCTTTTCCCTTCTTGCAGTTCAAGCTTTCGTAATAACCCGCAGTAGCATCGAAAGTCTTTAGCAAAGGGATTTGTCCTCGTGTGGTTCTTGTCCATGAGTGTCCTTTGCTGCCCCAGCAGCTGGACTGAGCCCAGAGCCGGCTGTTCTGCACCTCCGGTGAACAGAGTATCTCACCTTTCTTCTCATGCTCCCATTTGTGCCCTTTCAACTGATCTCTGTGATTTTACTTCACCTGCATTTGAATGAATAACCATCCCCTGCAACTAAACAGCAGTTATTGTGTAAAAAGCGGGCTGGGAGGGGGGAAGAAAAGAAAAAAGCCAAGGGTTGGGTCCTGTGCAACACTCGGTTCATGTTTTTAAAAACCAAACCTGATTTGAATAAAGCGAAGTAGAGAGGAGGCAATTCTCAATGACTTGAAAGAAAAGTTATTCTACTTGAGCTCGAGACAAAACCTCAGTTTCACATCCTATTTCAGTGCTCTAGTAAACCCTTATCTTACGGGAGCAGGGTGCTGAAGGGATGTGATGCAGATGGGGCTATCGGGGCCTCCGGCCTCACATCCTGCTCCCTCCCTAAGGCAGCGGAGCCGCTTCCTGCACGGAGCTCCCAGGGCTAAGGAACCAGCAGCAGGATGGGCCCGGGGCCACAGCACCTTCCCCGAGTGACCACAGAGAGAAACAGCTCTAAGACCCTCACTCCAAGGAGGATTTTAAGCCATCCAGGCTGTCATCCTCACACCTTCTCAGGATGCGCTGGATTTACCTGCCTTTCTGGCCACTTTTACCTCTCAGGAGCTGGTCAGCTCTCTTGACCTGGGAAGGAAAGCCAGGGGAGTAAAGAAAGAGGAGGATTCCGCTCAGAAAGTCAACAGAAGTGAGGCAGACTTTGGTAAGATTTATGAAACAAAAGAACTCCCACTTGGAGAATTGATGCTGCTGTAAATATTTATTTTCTTCAGCAATTGGGGAAGAGGATGGCGTTTTTAATCCGAGAACAATAGCCTTCTTAGCAATTTGTAATGATGCATTAAAGTTAAAGAGCTCCAAAATCCATCAAGTTCCAATCAATCCCGGCGCCTCCCGTGCTCCAAAGGGTGGGGAACAGAATCACTCTCCTCATTATCTGCGCCACCAATTACAGCACTAAGGGAACAAAAGCAAAGCAACCCCATCAAACATCCTTCCAGATGAACTTACAGCTGGTGCCCTCTCACACCCAGGGTTCAGAGCCAGCATTTCAGTCCTCTCAGCATCACACTGCACGACAAACTCATTAAATCTGCTTGCAAAAATGTTTGGTTTAGTACTTCCCCCAAGAGCCCAAGCCTGCTTCTCAGTCCGAGTCTTACATGCACCTACTGGCTAGCTGTGTTTTCACTCTTTACTTGCATTTTTCACAGGTTTCTCGAGATTTAAAAGGGACACACGTTGTTGTGGACACCCCACGCACAGGGAATTCCAACAACGTCGCCTTCTTGACACAAATGTCCCATTTTGAGAGCTCAGCCACATCACCTTTCCTTCCAAACGGAAGGAGCCCTTTAAGTTGTTCCAAAACGTGCATCATGAAACGGTTCCCAGCACGTGAAAACGAGACTGCTAGTTGTGCGGCGGGTTCGTCTTTCAGCTGCTCCGTAGGGAGGCCACGGAAGCGACGCTTCCTGGCAAAACCAGCCTCCTTCCTAAAGGGCCCCGCACGGACGGCCAAGCTGCGGCTTTCGAGATGAATCCACAGCTTGCGAGCGCCGCGGGGGTGGCACCGATGTCACCACCGTGTCACATCGGCGAGAGCAGCTCCGATAATAATGTGACCAGAGGGACCCCACGGGGCAAGGACCACGGCCAGCAGGGACCCAACAGTGCAAGGACCACGTCCTCTGCCACCGGCCTCGCACCTCCTGGCTGCTCTTCAGCAGAAACCCTCTTTACACAAGGTAGATTTCAGCTTTTTCCTCCACCTCAACCCGCACACGCCACGAGAAGCATCAGTTTCCCAGGCCACAGGGAGGATTTCTGGAAAGACAAACATTTTAATGGTCTAAATGTAATTGGGTTTCTCTTTGCCATTAGCCTACGGCAGCAGGTCAARTCCTGGGGCAGAATCGTCAGCGGAGCCGCTCGCTCGGTAAGTGTGGCCGTGCAGACCAGGGGCTTCAAAAAATGAGGAAAATAAAG